AGTGCAGAGAGGCTGCCTGGAAGGGAGATGTGTCTCAGGGAGGTGTGTGTGCCCTTTGGGTGGGTGAGGGCCACCTGCTCACCCGTGCCCTGCAAAGAATGGAAAAAGTGAAAAGTCCTTTTCTCCTGGATGCCTGGAAAGGTGTTTTGCCAGGACAAAGGCAAGGAGCTGATGAGAGCTGCAGTGCTGGCAGGCAGAGAGGCTGCACCTCTCATGCTGGGGGCCATGACATGCTCTGCAGGGTCCAGCCCTGGGGACAGAGGTGACAGCCAAAGGACCTGCTGAGAGCTCGCTCTGAGTTATCTCCCACTGCATTTTCACCCTCTGTACCTCTCTCCTTGTGTCTGTGCCCTCCCTCCCCCACCAGCCCTGCACTCCTGAGTGTTGGTAGGTGCTGATGCATCATCTCCAGCCTTTCTCCAAGCTGCTGCCCCAGACATGCTCTGCTTTAAAGCAGTTCCAGTTTGGCCATTCACATGAGAACAGGGTTGGTTGGTGTTGGGATGCAGGCACAGCAGGGTCTGGGCTCAGGGAATGCTGGAAGTGGTGCTGAGTGCCAGGAGCTGCCTGTCTGCACTGCCCTGCCCTGCAGCCAAGGGCTGGGGCCAAGGGGCTGCAGAGCAGCAGGTGGGGATGAGGAGATCCAAAAGAGCTTTTCCAAAAGGGCTCCTGCTGTGGCTGATGGCCCAGACAAGAAGCGCTGCGAGGGCACAGAGCAGAATAACACCACGATCTGTGACCTTAGGAGACATTTCCCCCTTTCAGCAGCATACCTGGCCACCCATGTTTCACTAATGTGCTGCCCCAGGGCCATGGAATGAGCCATCTCAGTGCTCATCCCAGGACAGGCACACAGGAGTGAAGCAGGGACACCAGACAATGCTGTGCCTCCAGGGTTACAGTTTAAGCTGACCTTGAACTAAAGAACAAATTATTTTTTCATCACCAGTCTTCTAAGAGCAAGGGAGAGAAACTCTAATAGATGTGCTGCTGAATATTTAAACTGCAAACAGATCCAGCCTCCCCAATCAGAAGTGAGATTATGGATCACTGTTCTGCAGCTCCTGGGGCTCTGCTGCTCCTGCTGCATTCCTTGAAATGTACATTGCTCTGTTTCTTGAACCCAAATGTGCTCCTTTAACCAGTCACCAGCTTCAGTTAATGGCCAACACATGTGCAAGGTCTGTGACTGACTTGACTGAATTAACAACTTGGTTAATTAGAGCTGGTTCAAACAGCTTGGAAATGCCTGGTGAGAGCAGCCAGACTCCTGTGCTGCTGCTGTCACACACAATGCTGAAAGGAAGAGTTTACTTTTTACTTCACACATCTAACACTTCCTGCTGCAATCTTTCTTTCTGATCCTTTTCAGGATGCCAACTACTTGTTGAGAGGGTTGGATTATTCAATTACTTGGTCACTAAGGTGTTAGCTTTTCTGTTTCCAGCAGTAATTTCCTAACACCTTCTATGAAGCTGCAATGCTTGGATGGTGCAAGGAGTGAAGGAGCCTTTAGCAACTAGAGCCACCCCTCAGGTGTCTCAACAGAGATCTGATCAGTGTTTGCAGGCTGGTGCTTCAATGATAATTTTTTCTGTTCTCTCCAAGTTACACCTCAGTGCCATGAAACTCTGTGTCCATCAGAGCTGGACCTGCTGTTGGAGGGCAGAGGAGTCCCCTTCTCACTGTAGCTCAGTGCAGCCTGCAGGAGGGAGATGTGACACACAGAGGGAGGCTCTATTTTTTTTCTCTGATTTGTAAAGGCAGTTTGGACAGGGAGATGCATGGAGCTGAGGATCCCTGCAGTGTCAGTCTGGGCTGCACTGTGCTGCAGCAGCGTGTCCAGACGCTCTTGGCACCATGTGTGCACACCAGGTTGTGTAGCTCAGCTGGAGAAAAAGAAGGTGCAGCCTACAAAGAGGTCCTGGGGTTCCTGAGGGTCTTTGGTCACAGAAGAAAGGGATTTTATGCCATTCTGACTTGGTGCCACATTAGCAAGACTCTGCTTTCCATTGCTTGCAGTTGTGTGCAGCTGTTTTACTCAACTGCACAAATGACAACTGCTTTGCAAGTACACTGGGTCTTGTGAAAAATGCATGTATTTTATGATTGGCTTTTCACAAATATTAAAATGAATATTATATGTGTTGGGTTAGAAAGTAATGTTGTATTAATTCTCTTAAGCAGTGGGTTAAACATAGTTTTAGGTTATAAAAAATGTTAAAATAGAAACTATGCTATGTAGGATACTTTTTTTAAAGAAAGGACTGGCACTGAGATAGCAGCTACAGAACACCTAAATCTTTCAGAGAAAAAGAATTTAGTGCCCTCTTTTCACTAGAAATGAACTTCTTCCCACCTTGAAGGCACTGTTAGGATTCAGAGGAAGAAGTTGACACTGACCAGACAGAATCCTGTGTTTGAATGGAATTTATGTATCATGTATGAAGAGTATGAATATGCAATAGGCTGTTGCTTTTAAGAGTTAATCCTTTGTTAACTGTGTCCTTTTTCAGGCTCGTGCTGCCCAGAAAAAGGTACCTGGACATCCACAACTCTTTGTTTCTGTTGTCTCATATTGTCCTAATTCAATTTGTCCAGATTATTATTACTCTAATTGTATTACTATTCTTATAACCATTTTATTACTATTAAACTTCTAAAATTTTAAAAACAAGATATTGGCATTTTTCACAGTCTGGCCAAAGGTTTTTTTCTTACCTGTCAAAAATACAACATTGATTTTTCCTTAGTGTGAAAGGACATGAGCCACTTCCATGTCTTCTGCTGTGTGGGATCATGGATCCACAGTCAGCACTTGTGTGCTCCCTGCTTCCCCATAAGATCCTCCAGACCTGTGTCATGGCTTTTCTTCACCTTTCCATATCTTATGGAACTAATTCAGTGTCATTTTCCTCTAACTGGTGCTGTTGGAAAACTCTAGCAAGACAGAGATTAGGCCCAAATTATTTGGCTGCATTTTACAGAGGAAAAGGCAAATCCAAACCCCTCCTTCAGTCAGGGAAAGAGAGACACAGCAGGAACAGGAAGTCCAGAGAGGATCACATATTTTCAGGGGTGAGATTCTATCTGATTATCCTCTCACTTAGACAGGATAATCCTGTGTGAAGTAAAACATTGCCAGGGAACTCAAAACAAACCCACTGGTTGAGGGAGCAGCATGAGCAGGGAATGATGACCCAGGAGCTGGGAAGACTACAGGACTGCCTCTTCCTGACATAGACTTTTAGGAGCTTTTATGTCCCAGTGTTTATTTTTATCATTTTGGATTCTACACTGGAGTCAAATGTGTTTTCTTTTGGCTATAGGAGAAAGAATAAAATCTGTCATCACAGCAATAACTTTCCAAGGGAGTAGGGTGTTTTATTCTTTTCTGTTCCCTCCTCCAGCACCCTCTCCTAAAGCTGGATACTAAACTTTTACCACACACCCCTGGATGTAACTTGATGAGGTAACTTGAACATGGTAAAAAGAATGTTGTAAAAACTGTCCTCAGCTTCAACATCAGATGGTCAGAGAGTACTAAAAGCCAAACCATGCCAAGTCACTGGTTTGCTTTTGCTCCACTTCCCACATATTAATGTGCAGGTCCAACATGTCTCCAAATCTGGCATCTTAACTGTGGCATCTTGACTGTGCAAAACATATTTATTTTATTTTATTGTTGTTAAAAAAGCAGGCTTTTCTCTCTGACAAGTGTTTTGGGAGTGGATGGCTGAGCCTGCTGCCTGCAGTGTGGGTGTAAACAAGGTTCATGGTGAAGGAACATGTCTTGCAACACCAATAAATGGGAGAAGACACCAATGAAAAGGTAGACAGGCTTTTAATGGCATGATCCAGAATCCCCTTTTAATAACAAATCTAATGACAACTGTGTCTGATATGAACAAGAAATGGCATAATTGTTTATTTTTTTTTTAAGATGTGATCTGAAATTAAGACAAATGCCAGGTGGGTCTGTACACAGACAGGGCTTCTGTGATGCATGCCAGATTTTATGGCCAAGAAATTCGCCATGCAGTTGAACCAGATTGTGGTTCCTCAGTCGGAGTCCTACATTCTGTTTGCAGTGTGTAAACATTCTCCAGCTGCTTTCCTAAAGAATGCAAAGAAGATATGTAGAGAGAGATTCAGCCTTGGGATTCAGTCACATTTCCAGGCAGAAGGAGCAGAAGTCCTGTCTCCAGAGTGTGCCAGAGGCGAAGGAAAACATCGGTGCGCCAGGTACAATGTCTGAGTGTAGAGTCACATGCTATCGTGTTAAAAGGAGATCTATAAAATCATCTGTGTTCCCAGCTCCAATTCCTGTCTGGAGAAGAAGCAGCAGGTCCCAAAGCACAGCAGTCCTGGTTTCACAGCCAGGGGTGCCCCCACGTCCTGCAGAGCTCATCCCACCCTCCGCAGGGACGGTCCCGAGCCTGTGCCGCGCGCTCCCGAGGAAACATCAGCCCCAGCCTCCTGCAGGAACCTGTGCAGAGCTCCCTGAGCTCCAGGCAGGGCAACATCAGCCCCAGCCTCCTGCAGGAACCTGTGCAGAGCTCCCTGAGCTCCAGGCAGGGCAACATCAGCCCCAGCCTCCTGCAGGAACCTGTGCCAGAGCTCCCTGAGCTCCAGGCAGGGCAACATCAGCCCCAGCCTCCTGCAGGAACCTGTGCAGAGCTCCCTGAGCTCCAGGCAGGGCAACATCAGCCCCAGCCTCCTGCAGGAACCTGTGCCAGAGCTCCCTGAGCTCCAGGCAGGGCAACATCAGCCCCAGCCTCCTGCAGGAACCTGTGCAGAGCTCCCTGAGCTCCAGGCAGGACAACATCAGCCCCAGCCTCCTGCAGGAACCTGTGCCAGAGCTCCCTGAGCTCCAGGCAGGACAACATCAGCCCCAGCCTCCTGCAGGAACCTGTGCCAGAGCTCCCTGAGCTCCAGGCAGGACAACATCAGCCCCAGCCTCCTGCAGGAACCTGTGCCAGAGCTCCCTGAGCTCCAGGCAGGACAACATCAGCCCCAGCCTCCTGTAGAAACCTGTGCCAGAGGTCCCTGAGCTCCAGGCAGGGCAACACGGGCCCAGGCAGAGGCAGAGCAGCCCCTGAGGAGCACCGAGCTGGCACCAGTCCTGCAGGGTCTTCATCAAAGCCCAGCTCTCACCCCTGAGGCCCCTCTGCTTCAGGAGCTAAGAGCAGGAGAAATTATTATCTTGGTCCCTACAAGGAACCCAGCTCTGGATTTGCTTTGGTAGCTCCCTTCCTCCTTTCAGCACAGAGGGCATCAGTGTTCCCTTTGAACCTGCTTTCCAGCCATTTGCAGCTCCAGAAATAAAAGGGATAATGTTCCTCCTTGTGACCCAGCATGGCCTGTATGGGTTGCACAGGTTGATGGCCAAGTCTGCCTCAGGCTCAGCAAAATCCAGGAGGGCTTCAACCCTCCAGGCAAAAAAGGACTGACCTGGAAGGAACACACAGTTACTTTGAAGGCAAGATTTGCTGCAGGAGCTACATTAGGAATGAAGTGACAGGAGAGTGATGGTGTATAAATCACTGTCATTTCCTGGGATTCTGGCTGCACTGGGGATCACAGCTCACCCCAGCCTGCAGGCAGAGCTATTCCCTGGCCTTGCAAAACTCCCAACCCCAGTGCTCATGGAGGTCTGAACATCAGCTGGCTCAGCTGCCACTGCCAGCACAGTCCCAGCCCCTTGGGAAGCAGCTCCTGCACAGCCACTGGGGTTCTGCACACACTGAGCCCACCCAGCAGCCCAGTCACAGGCACATGCCACACGAGGAAAGGCCCTGAACAGCAGCCCAAGCTCTCCTCCTCCTGGGGAGGTGCAGGACTAGCTGGCAAACAGATGGAACCAAAATTGCAAACTCTCAGGTGGTGCCTGTGGGCTTTGTCAAACCAGCCCAGCTCTGCTGGAGCACGGCCATGTTTCAGTTCAGCCAGAAGAAACTCATTTGATACCAAACTCATGATGTCCACAATGGGACTTTTGCTGTGTTCACAGGATTAATTTTACTGCAGGTGAGTGATGTGTGGGACAAGGCCTTAGGTGGGCATTGGTGTCAGTGCACATGGAATAGCTGTGGGTCAATAAACTGTACAGAGAGAAAAGCAGTGTGCTGAGGGACCCCTGAGGGATGCTACTGGAGCTGCCCAGGCTATCAGTGATCATCTTCATACAGAGGATCTACAGTGAGAAAACACCTCTGTGTGGGAAAGGAGAAACGTGACAGATTTTCTTGCCCCAACACAACCTGCTTTGGATCAACACGTTTCACCACCAAACTCTCAGTGCTCGTGTTAGCCAGGAGCAGCCACGTGAGCAGTGATGCTCCAGACCCTGCTCCATGCCCCACAGAGCTGTGTGTCTGTCCAGCAGCTGTTGCAGTTTTGGTGGCAGGCAGGACAGCTGTCAGCCACCCAGGCTGGCGTGGTTCAGCCCTGGTTTGTGCTCAGGCAGGTGCAGCCTCACAGCTGACATCACTTTGGTACAGTGGTATCCTGTTCCCCCATGCACACTCACTGCACACAGCAGTCAGCCCTGCACACATCTGAAGTCACAGGTGAGACTTCTCTGAAGGCAGCAGGACCCTTTTAAACCTTTAGTCACTATATATAATGGTCACTACTTATATTGTTGTAATAATATATATATATATATATATTATAATATTCTTTACTTAAAAAAGGGCAAGCAAAGTCTCCTGCCTCTCACTGCTTCCAAGCACAACAACAGAGATATTTGCTACCAAAACACCTTTTGCACCAAGGCAAACAGAAGTGCCTGTGCTGCTAACCAGACAAATCAGATAAGCAGCTCCATCCATCCGTGTGTTTGAGCCTCTCCACAGTATCAGTCTGTCTGGTGCCATCTGTCCTTTCCTCCCTCTGCTCATACAATCCATTGCCACACTGGTTAGTGCTGAGAGCTGCCTTTCAGATTCCCCACTGGCACATCCCCCTGTATCCATGCTTCCTTGCAGGCAGCTCCTGGCCAGGCAGCAGCCACTGGCTCCTTCTCAGCAGCCAGGGGGATCTCAGCTGTGGGCAAGGCCCTGCAGAGTGAGGGCTCAGGGCAGCCCCAAAGACTCTTGTGGTCCCAACACAGATAAGCAAGACGTGTCTCTCCCTACTCACACTGATAAAGGAACAGTGCTGGCCTGTCCCAGGAGTTCCCCCAAAACACACACATGGGCAAAATCACCTGCAAGGACACAGCCACACAGCCCAGCAGTGCTGGAGCAGCCCCCTGTGCCCTCGAGCTTGGCAGAGCTTGCACCAGACTCACAGCAGAGAGCAACAGGGCGTTGCCTCTCCCACCTGTCCGGGATGGGGCAGCCCACCATGGCCTGTGAGGCCACACTAGATCCTCTGGCATTCCTCAGCCACCTGACCTCTCCCTAACATCACAGGCCTCATCCCTTCCTGCCCCCAGACATGTTCTCCTCTGTTTGCTCCAGCTTTGGTGGGTGCCCTTCCAACTTTCCCACAGGGCAGCAGGAGAAGAGAGGACCCAGAGGAAATTCTGTGTGTGCTGCTCCCCTAGATGGGAGCACCCCCATTCAGGAGGACGTGGCCTGGGGCACACCATGCACTTTCCTGCTGCCCTTCATGCCAGGGACAGCTGGGAAGCAGGGCTGTGCAGGAGTCTGGCAGCACAACCACGAGGAGAGATGACCCATGCTGGTCTCAGATCTCTACAGACCCAGCTGCACCTTCAGCCCAGCCCTGTCAGACAACACTGTGAACAGCTTTGCTGATGACCTCCAGAAGTCCCATCTTGCCTCAACCATTCTTTGATTCACTAAATCATGGAAGTGGTGGAATCTTCCTTGCTGGAGACACTGAAGGCTCATCTTGACACAGCCCTACATAATCTAATCCAGGGTCTCATTTTCAATAGAAAATTGGACAAGGTGATTTCCAAGGGTTCCTTTCAATGTAAACTTTTCTTTAATTTCTGTAACATGGATTATGTATTTACTTATATTTTTAATTTTCTTGCAACCAGATTAGAACCAAAGAAAAAATATTATTAAAAAAATTGTCTGAGCAAAAATTTCAGGGGCAAAAAAGCATAATAAACCAGTGGGTTTGGAGCCATTCACATCTATTACTCCTGCTCAGTTCAGCATAGACCTGTTCCTGATGTCCAGCTGCGCTTTCTGAAAACCTGTGGGACCTGCCAGGTGGCTCTCCAGTATATCCCAGCTTTGGCATGTGTCCTGGTGGGACCAGGAATCTGCTGCACCACAGAGGGAGATGATGATACCTTGGTGCCACCAGAATCCTGCCTGCTTCTTGTGGTGGGGTCATGGTAGATAGACCTCTTAGAAGACAGCTCAGTTTCACAGAAACCTTTTATTTAAGAAGTCCCCATAGTCTGTGAAAGACTTCACTGGATGGTTGCTTCACAATTAAAAGCCTGCTCAATTTCTTTGTCTGCTGTTCTTGGCTCTTCTGACTTCCCTGCTTTCATGTGCCAGAGGAAGCCCACAGAACCACAGAACCATAGAATGGTTTGGGTTGGAAGGGACCTTAAAGATCATCCAGTTTCAGCCCCTTGCTATGAGCAAGGACACCTTCCACTAGACCAGGATGCCCTGTCCAACCCAGCCTTGTGTCTGCCCTGGAGCTTCCTTTCTGACATTGGGCCACAAAAATTGTCCCTTAAGCTTTTTCCTGAACAAATACGCTGATTGTGCTTTATTGGCTTCCCATGATGAGGCGGGTTTGCTAACCCTGTTAATAATCCTGTAGTTCTCTTTCCAAGCTCTTTCAATGTCATTTTTGGCATGTGCATTAAGACATGGATGGACCAACTGGTAAAAGCTACACAACCAAGTCTTACCATCTGAGCACTCTAAAATTAATAGACCTTCAATAAATTAATAGGAGTCCCATTATGATTTATATTTCTGGAAAGAATCTGTCTTTGAGTTTATTCTGTTTTCTAGTTTCTAAACCTGCAGTGCATACTTAGGTTCTATTCTGACCCACACTTCAAACTCAGAGAAAGTTTTAGTGTCACTAGAAGAAGTGGTCACAGTCTCTGTGTGTCCTTCTTCTGTTGTGGGGCCAAATGGTGAACCAGAGTGATGAAATGAACCAGATGAAAAATAAACTGGGGAATCAGAGCAGGTTGTGTTGTGCTGGATCAGCCTTTCCAGCCATTTATCAAATAGCTGCTGCACTGTAAATGTGGTGGAACTGTGCAACTAAACAGCTGGAACTTGGAGGGATGTTGCTTTTGATGGCAACATCAGCTCAGTCCATCAGACCACAGCCTGAGCTCCTCTGAGCTTCCAGTGCTGCTCTACAAAGATGAGGGCATGTTTGGAAATCAATGGAAAACATTTTGAGCAGGGTGAAATGAATTCTTAGTGCTGGCAACACTGAGACTGTCACATGAAGGGGTAATTCCTGTCTCCTGTTTCTACACATTTCCCTGTTCAGGTGTGCCAGGAGTTTCTCCCTGACACCCTGTCACAGCTCTCATACTCCTTTCCAGGAGATATGAGCAGCTTCAGGATTCCTTGAACTTGCTGGCCATCAGTGTGTGACTGTTTCAATTCATGTTCAAATGAATCACAGTCATTACTGTTCAGATTTCTCTGTCAAGCTTTGTTGTCTGCAAACAGTAAATTTGCAGGTAGTTGCAACTGCAGGAATAGGTGTACAGAGCAGCTGTATTTTTGTTCTGTCTCATGCAGTGCCTCTTTTAGGCATGACAATGGTGTGAAGCACAAAGCATTTGGGTCTGGAGTGTTTTCTTCTGTGAGGTGTGGGGAGAATTTTATCTACTTCAAGATCTCATCAAGATCAGACAGGAACCAGCCCTCCTTGCTTTCACTTTCAAGCCTTCCTAATTAGTCTGGGGGCTAAACAGTTGGTTGATTTAGCTCTAGCTGAGCGTTAGCTGATGCTCAGATAATATTACTTGAAGAGCATAGCCCTTGCTTTTACATTGTTCATCCTCAATGCATGGCAGAGGTGAGCACCAAGGAAAAGATCCAAACCCCACCTCTGCCCCTCAGCCCACTGTCCCCTCAGATGGAAATGCACATGGCCATGGCATGCCAGCAAACCTCTCATTGCAAAGCAGCAGGTTTTGGGTACACTACAGGATAATAATTTCCCACCCTGCCGTGTAGGGGAACTTTCAACCACAGTGCCAAAATTCACAAACACCACGAGCGTGACAACAAACCACAAGGAATTCAGGTGCAGGGGGCACCCAGGCTAAAGGCATCCAGTGACTATCCACATCCTCACAATGGAGCTGTGTTCGGTGCACTGCAGGTCTGTGTGGCACCAACCACGCCCAGGCTGAGAGGAACCACCCTTGCTGGGGGATGTGATGTCCACAGATCACAGTTTGGTATTTGTGACAGATGTGGCTGCAGAGTGCTCCCTTCTACATTAATTAGCAAGAGCTCTGATTTCCCAGCAAGCTGCCAACACATCCCTACTTCCACCTAAGCACCCACCACACAGGCATGTGCTGAAACAGCAGCAGTGTCTGAGAAGCAATGCCAGACAGCCTCCTCTGTGGGACACACTGGGGCAGGCGGGAGCATCCAGCAAGACCTGCCTGTCTCCCAGTTCCCAACTGTAGAGGCACCTCTGGAAAGGTGAGTAGAGCCCTCCCCTCCTTACCCCTCCTCTAATCTCAGCACACAAGGATGCATCCAACCCTCTTGAATAAGCTAGTGGCAATCCCTTGCTAACACAGGTGGTGGGAGGCGAGCCAGCACTCAGGGAGATGGCAGAGACCAAGGCTGGTGTTTCCCCAGCAAGGAGAAAGGAAGGAGCTGCCTGAAGGACGGGAGCCTTCCTCTTTTAGCAGGCCTTGCTCTTGTCACCTCTGCTCCTCCTTCCACAGCTGGACTCAGTGTTGAGGACTGGTATTGCTAACATGGAGGAGGATCCCTGGGGAGGGAGGCAGGTCAGGCACTGGGCAGGCTGGGTGCTGTGCGTTAGCAAGCTGCGAGCTGGGGGGTCTCCCTTGGAAAGGCTCCGTGGCTCAGAGGCTGCCAGGCCCCTGGGAGCTGATTGCAGTGTGGGGTGAGAGTGAGTGAAGCATTCAAGTACAGCTACTGCTATACACTCGTGGGTCCAGCATGGAAGGCTGTGCTGCAGCATCTCAAGTGTATACTATATGCAGAAGTTACCCAGTCTGCTGGGCTCGCAGAGGAAGGTCATTATCTGGCAGCTGCCTTACTTTCCAGGGACACCTGCTTTCCTTTGGTTGCTGGACTTTGAGTCTGGGTTTTTCCTCTTTGTCGTTTTTTGGCCACGCCAGGAGACGACAGGGAATCTCCTGTAGGCGCCGGGGCCTGAGCTGAGGGCTGAGGTCGGGGGGAAGGAGGAACGCGCTGAGGAGCAGTCCCTGGTTTGTGCTGCCGGCAGGGAGAAGGACTTTCCCTCCGAGGCAGCAGCTGGCTTCTGGGGGATGTACTGGGGTTCCTGGAAGGAAGGACGGGGCTCCGGGGGGATGCACCACTGGGCCTCTGCGAGCTGCTCCGTGCAGGAAGGGAGCTGGAGCTCGGTGACGAAGGAAGCCGGCTTTGTACCTGGGTTGTTCGGCCCTCGGACGGGACACTTCCAGCTGGTCTCTGTGTCTGAAGCCTGTAGAGGAGAAAAGAGCGAGAAGAGGGAGGATGAAGGGGAATTTTGCAAGGGATTCTTGGGCTCCTGGCAGGACTGGCATGAATGTTGCCAGGCAATTACAAGGAGTCTCCAGCACCAGGATGGGAGAAGCTATGCTGTGAACAAGATGGGGCACCAGTTTGAACACCATCCTGTAACTCAGTGTAGTTAACTGCTAAGTGTTTGCCTTGATGCTCCAGCATTCTCTGAGTCCACATGCAGGCATGGTATGTGGGACTTCTCTTAACCTGCAGAATGGATGCAGCAACCTCTTCAAAGGCAGGACATACAATTTGGGAATGTGGGCATGAGTTAGACTGCACCAGTTGGCCTCTGATGGTAACTGTGATGGAAGATAAACCAACAGAGGCAATCCCAGCTGGCAGCCTCGCTGCCCGTGCAGCTCTAATCACAATAGTCAGGCCAGGAGGCCAGGTCTCCCTGCAGAGTCATGGCCGTGCTGCCAAATGGAGAGCTCAACACCAGGGGCATCTGCTATTATCAGACCAAGTGAAAGGGCTTGTAAAAGGAAAGGTCTCAAAGCCAGGACAACGCAAAGAGAGGCTTTAAAAAAAGAAGACAGAGAGGTGAGTATTTCACAGACATGTGGGCTGAAATGACTGTAGGAAACAAGGATGGACTATGCATTCAAGCTGAGTAAAGGATGAAGTCATGGGAGGTGAGCAAAGCCCTGGCTGTGTCTCCTCAACAAGCCCAGCTCTTTGCATTTCTCACCATTTTGGCCTTACCTGCAGGCAGCGGCTGCATCCTGTGGGGAGCTGCCCAGCCCTGCCACTGTAGCAGCCATGGAGCTCTCCGGCCTCGCCACCTCCAGCGGCGTTTTCACCGGCACGATGGGACGAGGAATTCTGCTCCTTGTGCTTATGGCTCTCTCTTCCCTCCCCAGCAGCGCAGCCTTCCTCTCTCCCTTCCGTGGGATGGAGTCATCGGAGTCGTGGGTGTCCTCCTCGGAGCCGGTGGCTGACAGGGTTTCAGAGGCCCGGCGCCGCTCGTCGCTGGAGGAGGCCGAGGAGGAGGCCCCTGAGGCCAGCCGCAGGAGGCGGCTCTGCCTCTTCTCCATCACCAGGCGAGCCAGGTCGGGTTGCTTTGCCCTCTTATAAAGCCTTTCTTTGGCTGAGAGTGAAGTTGAAAGGTCTGAGCCAGTGTCCTCCTCAGAGAACAAAATGGGTATCCGGCTCCTGTACCGCGAGCCCTGCGGCCTCCTGGGGCCCGGCTGTGGCGTCTCCAGGATGGTCTCTGCTCGCTTCAGGTGCTCTGTCACTGGTGCTGCCTTCTCCAGGCCAGGCTCCCTTGTAGCCACCTTGGCAGGCTCTTCCAAGTCCAGTGAGAGCACCGCTTTGCCAGAGGGCTCTGGCTTTTCCTCGGGAAGCTTTGGCACGCCGTTGGGAAGGGCCGGCTGCTCCCCCACGGTCTCTGAGGTGGTTTCCACATGGTTGGCCGACAGCACGCAGCTCTCTGTCTCTGCCCCTTCCAGCCCGGAGTGAATGCTGCCGTTCTCCACCAGCACCAGGTTGTCCTCCAGCTCCTCCTCGATGATGACCTCCTCAAACTGCCCCAGGGGGCCGTGCTCCTCGTGCCGCATCAGCTGCCCACTGGAGGACATCACGTTCAGGTGGGTCTTCTCAGCGATGTGAACAAACGTGCGCTCCACTTTGGTGAACGGGGAGGAGGCTGTAGCCACTGCCACGGGGGGCTTTGGTTCTGATTTGAGGACTGAGGACAGGGTCCCTGGCTCAGACACATCCAGCTGGCTCCCCATGGGCTGCGGCCGCTCACTCTGAGGTGTCAGTGCAGCAAGAGTGCCCAGATCGACTTCTGGAGGTAACTCTGCAGCCACTGGAGACTTCTTCAGATCACCTGGTGAAAACAGCACTAATGTTTTTGAGCCTTCCTCCAGCTCCAGGTCCCCATCAGCGGTGGATGCCCGACCCTTGGAGCCCTTCTGGTCATCAGCCAGGAGCGTGGACGGCGCGCACTCCTGGCTGCGCTCCGTGCTCTTCTGACTCAGGTCGCTGCTGGAATCACTGTGCATGTCAATCTCATTGCCCTCCTCCTCCTCCTCCCCCTCATCCTGCTCATCTTCCTCCTCCTCATAGTCTTCCTCCTCTTCTTCCTCCTCCTCCTCCTCCTCTTTTCCATTCATTTCCAGATAAGGTTCCAGAGGTTTGCAAGGAGCAGTCAAGACAATATTTGAAAAATCAACTTTCTTTATCCGCTGGGATAACTTAGGCTTTTCCCAGTAGTTGCACATATCTTTTCTGAAGTCTTGGTAAGGCAAACTTAAAGGGACCGCCTTGGGCAGGCCATTTATTTCAAATGACTTCAGCATGTATGCCTGCAGGAAGACAAGTGTGACAAAAGGAGAGGGTGAGTTAGCATTCAAACAGCAGCATTGACACAGAACACATCAGGACCAACAGCAGCAGGAAGAATCCATGGAAAGCATCTAATCCATCTCATGGTTCCAAAATACATGCCTGAGCAGTCATCACTCCATCATTTGATTCATACAAACCTTAGAGAGATTCACAGGTACTTATCAATGAAGGAAACAAAACATGCCAAAGAAGTTCCTTTGTCAGCAGTCTTTAACCCAGACATAAAAGAACCATTTTCAAGCAATTCCTCAGGGTTTTTTCACATTTCCCAATCTTCTTCAGTGTTTATGTATTTATTTCAGTATTTACATAGTCACTCCTTCCTTACTGGAACTACTTAGCAACTCGCTTTTATGCCCAGTGAACTGAAGGGGCACCTCTGAGCTAGAAAAATTTCCTGATCACTTTCCATCAGCATCCACCACTGCCCCTGGGGCAGTAACACTTGTAGTGCTACTGTGCTCCCTTGGTGCAGCATTCATCCCCCCCTTCTGCTCCCACATTCCTGTAGCAACTCCTCATTCTGTCTCCTGCAGGCTTCTGCTTCCACTGAAATCATCAGCCAGTCATGAAAGCTGGCACACAAAGTGTCATCATCAGGCCCTGGGGTGTTCAAGCAGGAGAAGTGAAGGGCACACAGGACAGGTGGTGGTGGGGGCACTGTTCCTCCAGCCTGTGGCAGTAGCAGGCTGTGAAATGATTGCAAATGATCCTACAGAAAAACAGGAGCTCACACACACATGCACACACTTGACCAAACAAGGCCAAAATAAATAGGAAATGCCTGTCAAGCATGACCTAATTAACAATCAGTTGCAAATGAAAATCCCATCAGCACCGCTCTGCAGAATGGATTTTAAACCAAATCATTTACAGCACACTTCTGTTAGGGCTGGCAAACTGTAACCTCTCCATAAAATCAACTGGTCAATAATGCATCACATGTTACCCTTGAAAAGTCCTGACCATGAACAGCAGGGCTCCAAACATCTGCATTTTCCAGTGGCATTTGACACTGCCAGAGGATATTTAGGCTACACAATAAACATGCACCCACTTAACCATGTGAGCTCCAGAGCTGCTCACAGCTACCACATTCACCTGGCCGTGGGAATGGATCTTTTTGTCTCTACAAAAAGGGGAGAAAAAGCCCTCAGTGGCTTTTCAGTCCAATGGCACAATTAAAAATGGTGCTGAAAAGTGTACTATTTTTATGCTCCTGTACAACAGAGATATTTCAAATAGGTTGGTGGGCAGCACCAAGCTGTTCTGCATGGTGGTGAGTTGTTATCCGGTTAATATTTATTTTTATATCTTATAAATTAAAACACAGGCTGGTTTTGGCAATACCACTGCAATCCAAAGCTGCTTCTCTTCTTTCATTGAAGCTGAAGCCTGGCCCTGAAGATGGCTCTGTATTAGCCTGGTTTGGGCCTTCACTGATCCACTCTACCTTTTGTATCAGGACGGCAGACGTGGAACTTGGATTGGTAAGAGGCACTTACTGCCCTTTGCTGGGCCATATCCAGCTGAGTTTTTAGTACTTCAAGGATGGAAATCTCACAACCTCTTTGGGACCCTCTTCTAGAGTTTGAGGCTCTTCATGGTGAAAAAGTTGAGGGGTTTAGGGTCTAATTCCTATATCTAACCTTCCTTTCATGAAACTTTCGTCCATGACATCTCATCCTTCCACTGTGCACCTCTGAGAAGAGTATGGAATCTCCCTCCATCAGGCAATTCAATGAAGAAAAAGGATGCCACAACCAATCCTGGTTTTAAGGAAGAACAGACCCAGATCTCTCAGCCTCTCCTCATGTCAGATGTTTCTAGTTCCTGGTCATCCTGGCAGCCCTCTGTCAGGTTCACTCTCCTGTGAGCAGGAACCATGAGCTAAGGCAGCCACATTTTCCTGCTTGTTTGACCTCAGATTTCCACTCGTGACTCTCTCTTGACTTGTTGGTCACTTGTCCAGGAATGCCTGTGGCATTACATGGGTCTGAGCATGTGTTTACCACAAAGTCTGCATGTTTCACCTCTTTAATACTGTCCCTAAATAAAACTTGTCTTAGATTATTCACTAAGGTTGAAGTGCTTGTGAGTGTTGCCCAAACAAATATTTTAGGACTCTACCTACTTTCTAGTCAAACCTAGAAACTGCCAGGTAGAACCCTGCAGAGTTTCTTAACAGAAGGCAACTGGGTTGCCAGAGATAGAAATAAAATCTGAAAGAGTGTGGGATAGTTCAGGGTCTGCAAAACTTACCAACCTATTAAAAACATCAATACCACTGCCCTCTCCCAAGTTCATGGATGTAAAGGGATGCCCCCTACCAACAGTTGCACTCATGAGGACTGGGTAGAGACAGATTTGGAAAAAAGAGGCACCACTTGCCTTATGGCCAGTAAACAAACCAACAGTGGTATTTCATCATGGATTGTCAACAGTTTTTTGCTAACACTGCAACTTCCACTGCTGCAGTTCCAAACATTGTTGAGATTGTGACACTGCCACGGGGTCTGCTCATACCTGGCTGACTGCCCTAGATGTGAAGGACATGCTTTTCATAACTCCCCTCCTTGACCATGTTTTCTTTTCATTAGTGCTTGATCTCTTTATGAACTACTGAGGAAAGGAAAATCATGGGAATGATGGAAGTGCACATGAATGTATTAGAACTGCTAGTAAGTGAACTGAGATTGTTCCAACACCTCCATACACCCAACTGACCTTATTCACATGGAATGGGGACTCAGTGGGCATGGGCCTCATTGTAATCTATGGCAAAAGGGGCCAGGAGGGGTGGAGACACCACTGGAGTTGGGCTCTCACTCTTTCAGTGCCACCAAAATGAGGTGCTCTGATCTTGAAAAGGGCTGGTCTCCCCATGAAACAGGCAGAACAGATAAAGAGAGGACAGAGTGTGATCATGAGGTGACCTTCCCACCTCCCAGATGTAGTTCATGAGGGCACAGTGTCACCTGCAGGCACTGCTCAGGAACCTATAGTGGTCTGTCTATCTGTCTCTCTGAGAGGTATCAGTGGAATTATGAAAGAATGGTTCAGCACATTCCCCTTTCCACTGGAAATTGAGAGTGGCAATGGCTCATGTTTCACAGCCATGATGGTTCAATACTGGTCCAAAGAGGAAGAAATCTGATGGATATTTCACATTCCATAATATCCCCAAGCTAATGGTCCTGACAAATGCTTCAAGAGATTGAGTTACTAGATGGAAGTTCAGGTCTCACTTCAAATCTTATGCTGCAGTTAATCCAAGCTTTTGGATGGACACACAATATTCCTCAAAGCCCTGTGTGTTCATCTCCCTCAGTCTCCCAGCTCACCACTTCTTGGGAAATATTAACTGTGGATTTGACCAAAACTTGGGAGATCATGTGAAAAAAACCACACAAATTTCACTAAGGAAAATGTGGTTTGAAGTGGCACAAGAACAATACAACCACATGGAGCTGCAACATCCCTGAGCCACTGTTAATATTTGTGACTAACAGGGAAATGATTTCTATGATTTATCATCATCCACAGGACATGTTTACCAATATACCATGAGGAATGCATATTCCAAGGGTGTGGGGAGTGTCACAATGCAGTCTTGCATTGTCTTTTTTGACTAACAGTGACACCAGGCCTGACATCATTTGTTCAGAGCTCGCACACACTTCTGGGGCACACCAAAAGGCTCAGCAGTGATGGAATATGGTCTGCAGAGGGATAGTGATGCCAACACACACTGGGATTATTGACACTTTGTCACCTTTGGAGGAAGCAGCCTCTTACAACAGCTGTGTGTGTGGATGAATCAAAAGGGAGTCAATGGTAATATGTGTGTCCTGGGTAATCAAAAAAAAGTGCTTTGCACTCTGTATCTTTCCTATGCCAATCTTCCCAAGATTATCACTGTCCCTTTTTCTCCAGGCTTTAGAGAATTTTCTTACACCATTCTGGCTGCTCTTGCTGGAAGTAATCCCTATTTCTGGAGCTGGGGAGGATGTTTTCCTTGGATCTTTTCACTGCTGCTGCCCAGAAAGGCAGAGCCCCTTCTCTCTCCACAAGCTCCAGCCACTGCCCCAGTTCCAGCCACCACTGCTGATGGAGAGCCTCTGTTGGCTGGTGTAGAGCAGACAACCCAGCAGCACTGACTTTTGGTTTTGGACAATCAGAAATGGTACTTTCCTGTTTTTTGGTTTTGTCCCTGTTCCCCACTGGTTGCTTTTTAGGGGGAGAGGGAGGTCTGTAATCGCAAAGGCTCAGTTGCTGTGTTGTGTTTTTCTTTTCTTTGTCCTCTCTCTTGGCCATGTGAGCAGCACAAGGGGCTTCTCCACCAGCTTGTCTTTACCAACGAGATATTTGTGACAAGTGGACTTGTGGTAGGATGGGCTCTGGAAGCTATTTTCACACCCCAGCTGATGGCATTCCAGATCAAATGATGTTATATAACCTTGCTGAACAAATCAAAGCACTGACTAATGCAGCTCATGAGGCACTGGAGGAAGCAAAGGTACAATTGCAGGCAACATCAAAAATGGCTTTGCCAAACAGAAAGACTAAAATTAGACTTTTATTATGGCCTGAAAATGCAGTGTGGGGATGTGTGAGCCTGTCTGATGACACCTGCTCCATTCACATATCAAATGTAACTAAGGATCTTTATGCGCAACTAGATCATATGAAGTATATAGCAAGAGCAAATAGAGATCTTGGATATAGTATGGAAAATGGACATTAAACAAGCTCCTGCATGGGTGTTAGGTTTTTCACTTGCTGGTTATCACAATCTTTGGTATTAGTTTTTATTGTAATTATTAGATTTTGTGGATTATTATGAATGATAAGCCAGGTAATGATATGCATAAGATCTGTATGGATGGAAATGAAAGAGGTGGAAGAGGAGGAAAAGGAATCACCCTAGAGAGTTGTGATCATGTTCACAGGGGTC